ACCTGTGGTTAGTGACATTTTAAATGTCTGCAGATATGACAAGGGCAGAAAATTTTGAATCAGACTGTGCAAAATATCAAAGCAGGAGGCTTGGAAAGAATTCTATGTGCCTCATTATGATTTTTTTCAGAGTTGTGTTTGCAGTCTGTGGTTAGGGGTATGGGGTGCAGGGTTAGAGATAGAATAGGGAAGAGATTGGCACCATGAAAGTTTTACATGATTACATGTAAAACTATATCTGAGGCTAGGCAGAGAAAGGATTGGAGAAAGAATTGACCAGAGATGGGGAAATACTTTGAAGGTCATTATAATACTACTAGAGGCCCGATGCAAGAAGTTCGTGCAAGGGGCTCAGCCCTCACAGCCCCAGCTTTGTCCAGAAGGTCATCCAGAAGGACATCTGGAAGGTTGTTCAGCTGTCCGGTCTAATTGGCATATTGCACTTTTATTATTATAGACTAGGGGCCCAGTGCATGAATTTGTGCACCTTGAAAGGAACTGTGGGCCACAAGGCTGTGGTGGGCACAGGGGTGGGTCTCGGCCCTTCCTCCGCACCCCTGCCTGGCCCCTCCCACCACGGCCCCCGGTCCCCTGTCTGCCAGCAGCCCCATTCCTGCTGCCACTCCCACACACTGACAGCACTAGCCCCGCTCGCACCAGCTGCGGGTGTGAGCAGGGCGGCACCAGCAGTGGGTGCAAGTGGTGACTCTGGCACTGGCAGCAAGTGAGAGTGAGCTGTTGCTGGCAGCAGGTGCAAGAGGTGGCTGCTAGCCCCAATCACCCCTCAGGAGCAGGGGGAGGCTGCTCCTGAGGGATGATCAGGGCCGGCAACCACCGCTCCACCCACTGACGATGCGGAGCGGTTGGGGCTGGTGGAAGCAGCAGTTGCGAGCAGGGCCGGCACCAGCAGCAGGTGCAAGCACTTGGTGGGACCACATCACACAGGAGCAAAGAATTTTCAGTAACCACCAGAGGCTCTCTCTAATGACAGTGACAGGCGCACCGCCTTGGTCTGGCGCCCCCACACACATACTCCACCATCCTGCCGCAGCCGATGTCCGCCATGTTCCACGCTCTGCTGCCTGCTGCCAACGCCGCTATGTTCTGCACGCACCCCCTGGTGGTCAGTGCACGTCATAGCGACCCGTTGTTCAGTTGTTCTGCTGTTCAGTCTATTTGCATATTAGGGTTTTATATATACTAGTAGATGGTTGAGAGAGAATAAAAGACTGAACTACAGCAATGAAAATGGTAATTAAGAGAATAACATGAAGAGCTGATGTAGGAGCTCATTTGTGGTTTTGGAGATGTCATGTTGAGCTTTTGCTGGTGTACAAAGCCTATGCTTAGTACCTAGTGAGTAATTGGCCCTCACCTAGACCACCCACTGGTAAAGTTGCCCCAAGCACTGGAGACCACTGTGAGCTGTGTCTGCAGGTAAACTGTCACTTTAAAACCTTCCCTACAGAGAGACTACTCAGGGTTTGGGAAACAAGTTAGTTAAGGTCCCCCCACCCCCTCCTTTAGGAGCAGGCATTTCCTGATGAGAGACTATCCCAGCGAGACTGGGAGCTTCTCAGGGACAGCTCCATAGCAATCTTTGCATTTCCTGCCCAGCACACAGTAGCTTTTAAAAATAAAAAATAATAATAGCTTGAAAATGATCCACACTTTCCATTCATCCTCCATAATGACTTTATTTAAAATATATTCCTAGTTACAACAGTATATTTTAGGAAGTAACTAATTAACTGGAAGAAATGGAAGCATAAAACATACTAATCAAAAACCAAGCTTGAAGGAACAAAACTAAAAATACCATATACAAATCAGACGAGCCCTAGAGCTGAAAAACAATACAGTTCAGAATGGTTAAACTGAAAACACCGTGGATTAATAAACTTTGTGAGGGGCAAGGATTTTTGTGTGTTTACCTGCTATAACCTCAGAGCCTAGAACAGTGGCCCAGCATACAGGGGACATTCAATGCTATCCCGGAAGGAAGGAAAGAAGGAAGGAAGGAAGGAAGGAAGGAAGGAAGGAAGGAAGGAAGGAAGGAAGGGAGGGAGGGAGGGAGGGAGGGAGGGAGGGAGGGAGGGAGGGAGGGAGGGAGGAAAGGAGACAATTAGCTTTTTTTGTATTAGAAGTTGATTTGAGTCTTTTTTATTATTATTATTTGTTCCAGTTCTAGAACCAAAGAAAACATTTCTCATGCATCTGGAAGTAATTTTGTATGTGGAACACTGCCAAACAGTGGTATTTTAATCCCATCAGGAATAGAGAATAGAATGGAAATTGTTCTTTCTCTCATGACATAAGCCCTTATTCTCTTGCCTGTCCTGCAATGCTAGGAAACTTGAGATAGAAAAATCGTGTGTAGATGCTTGACATTCTGTTCTCTCCAGGGAAATATTTAGCTAACTTAGTATTCCTTGGTGAACTATCAATGATTGGTTGTTTGGCAGAGATGTTTTTCTCTAGCTCTATGGCTATGACATGACAAAAAATAGAATATTTAAAAAAAAACCCACAATTGAATAACGGGAGAATTGTCAAGTAGCATACTCCTGAGACAATCGAATCTTATGTCCGGCAGCGTTCTTCGCCAGGCGGGAATGCACTCAGTTCATGCATTCACTCAGCTCCTGTGCAGCACGTCACACATTTTCAGTCTTAAACTAGCCCAGGTGGAGGCTTCTCTTAAACTAGCCCATGAATGCATTTATTTAACAAATACTTATTTAGTATCTACTAAATGCCAAATTCCCAGCTATCTCCTGGGGACATAGTGGTGAATAAGACAGAATCCTTACAGGAGATTTCATGAATTAAAATGCCTTTTTGTTGTGGGACTTAAACAAAAATGTGAAGGGAAAGAAACCAAAATGTTTTCTGAAGTGCTATTTTGTGCCAGGCCCATTTTAGAGGGGTATCCCCCCTTTCTAAATAGCTTCCACCCCACCCCCGCAGCTTTTTCTTTTCTTTTCTTTTTTTATATTTTATTGATTTTTTACAGAGAGGAAGGGAGAGAAATAGAGAGTTAGAAACATCGATGAGAGAGAAACATCGATCAGCTGCCTCCTGCACATCCCCCACTGGGGACATGCCCGCAACCCAGGCACATGCCCTTGACCGGAATCGAACCTGGGACCCCTCAGTCCGCAGGCCGACGCTCTATCCACTGAGCCAAACCGGTTACGGCAGCTTTTTCTTTTTTAATCCTGCTTTTTTCCCCTTCTAATCCCTACTAATTTTTCTTCTTTTCTACTAATCCCTACTTGACATTGTTCACTGTTCTATCCAGCTCTCAGAGGTAGCCGATATAGGTTTTTTGTAGGCATGGCAAGAATGAACTCCAGAGATAGAAATCCTTGTTTTACAAATGAGACCAAGAGTAGTGACTTAAATGATTTGCACATGATTGTACAACTCTTAACTCAGAGATCAGGGGTTTAAACCTTGATATGAAGATAAAGCCTGTCATGGAAATATACATATATAATTTCAGAGAGGAAAGGAGAGGGAGAGAGAGAAACATCAATGATGAGAGAGTCATTGATCAGCTGCCTCCTGCACCCCGCCTGAGCCTGCAACCTGGGCATATGCCCTGACCAGGAATCAAACCATGACCTCCTGGTTCATAGGTTGACGCTCAACCACTGAGTCAGGCCGGCTGGGCAAAGCCCATGTTCTCTCTACAATGATTCCTCTACATGCGTATTTCTTTACAGAGATAACGACTCTGTCTTCTTTTGTTAAATACAATTATGGGAAAGACACTTGGAGGTGCAGAGATCTTGCCTTCAAGAGCCTGACAATCTAGTTATCAAGGGGGAAAAAATCTGGAGATCCAAGTGAAGTGTAAGGCAATGTCTAGGTATGAAAGGAATCCCAGAGACTGAGCAAGAGGAGGGCAAGCAGGCCTGGTCTGGGTCTGCAGAGCGGGCTGGGTCTGCTGTCCCTGGAATATGAGTAAAATAAGTAAATTCCTCCAGAGTGACAGCTTTCCTACAGCGCTTTTCGGAGTCCCTGCTCCCATTTGGACACAGAGAACCTTAGATTCTCCCTGCTTTTTGCAGAGGGAGATGGTGGAAGGTAAAAGAAAAACTCACTTTGAAGAGAGCTTGGAGAGTCTGTGGTCTTACTAAGAAATGAAGAGGTGGAGAAAAACTTTGCAACAACTGGGGTGGTTTTGCCTAGAAAGAAGGAAAAGCCTGGGAGCGGAGGGTGGGGTGAGCGGCTAATAGCAGAACCAGAAGTTTGTCGATGTCCTCACACTTATCTGATAAACATTTGAAGTGTCCTGCACTTGAAGGAGGGGGTTAGATTTATTCTCTTGGAAACCAAAACGTGGAACCAAAGGGTGCAAACCGGATGGAAACACGTTTCTACTCAAATACAGAGAAATGCGTGCCTGTACACTGAGCCGCAGGAAACTGCCTAGGCGCTGAGAGCTTTCGGGGGCCGGGCTGCAGCGGGAATGTGCGCTGGGGTCGCACCGCCCGGGCCGGGTCGCCGCCGGGGCGGGGCCTGCGAGCCGAGAGGACGCGCGTCACCGGCTCCAGCTGCGTCCGGCTCCCCTGGGAGCGCGGGGTGGGGGGTGGGTGGGGGGACCCGGTGCGGGAGCTCGAGATCAGGCTAGACCCGCGGCTGCAGGCGGAGAGCAGGGGCACGATGCTCGCGCCGCCGGGAGCCTCTGCGCCTCCGTAACGGAGCCGCATCCTCCGCTGCGCCCCGGGGGCGCCTCGAGAAG